CAATAGAGAATCACGTCTTCTTTATATTTTATACTTAAGGACGGAGAATAATTAGGTTTTAAAAAAGTTTTCTAATTGCCGAAAAATGTGGAGCCTGATCATTCGTTGCATTAGCGCTTAGTGATTACACTCTACAAGGTGCATGCGTTCCGCGTAAAGAAAATCCCATATTTTTCTATGTCATTAAATAGATACCATACAGGGTCCATAAAATTTTGCAATGGATGCGGACCATGTTGTACATTTCATGAGGAGCAGTGGCAAACGGCCAGGTACAATGCTATGTGAATGGACATTATGCGGTCTTAAAAGTCTCATAATTAGAATCTTTTTTAAAACCTGATTATACTCCGTCCTTAAGTATAAAATATAAAGAAGACGTGATTCTATATTGATTGACTAAAAGAAAGCATATCTTTGTTTGTGATTTCTATAAAATCTATTTGAATTTCCAAGACCATCGAAAATCAATGGGAAAAACGCATGCTACTTAAGTAGTCATTTTTTACCGAGCACGCTTTCTACAGGAGATTGAAAAGAAGTGCATTTAAAAGCTGACATCCTGCCGAGTCCAAAATGTTATAAGAGTATGCCTTAAGATAATCAGTATCACAACCGCGACCAAGTAATCCTACCTAATCGAAAACGCATTTCAGAATTTCAGCCAACATTTCATGAGATAGGTCACGCACTGTATTTATGTAAAGTGGGCGTTTGACCCTCACTGTTGTGGTTAGGATCTCACTCGATCCCATTCTGTCCGCCCGCCAGCTTGCTACTGACGACAACGAACGCTGTGTCAGAGGACACATACCACATATAATACATGATCAGCTCGCTAAGAGTGCAACAGGCCAGACGCAGACAGCTGTTTCACAGTCGTTACCGATCATCAGTACGTCATAGGCCTTATGAAGTGAGGTATGTGAAGTGGGCGTTTGACCCTCACTGTTGTGGTTAGGATCTCACTCGATCGCATTCTGTCCGCCCGCCAGCTGAGGTACTTATAGTATTAAGTTGCCGTGGGGGCACATGGGTGTTATGATTAACAGCTCTTGCGATCACTATTAGGGGTCGTAATTAGGGTGATGATGGCTGGTCAGTCCGCGTCCGAGTCCTTAATTGTCTCAATTGCATCATTCGCGTTGGATGCTGACATGACGATGACTCAGCAATTTGATCCGCTGTCACCAACATTGTTGCTCAAACGCGCATCAAGTTTCAAGAGGCCGAAATCCTCGTAAGAGCTGAGAACCGCGTGGGCCACGAGCTGCTCGAATCATAGTTCACAGGCTTGCTATCCATCAACAACCGCAATGATATCCCTGCACCGTATTCGGTGCTGAGACATTCGCTGAGCAGGGGAATAAATCACGTGGGGAGAGCGCGGGTGAGCAACAATCCCGCTGACAGCATACCAGATTGCTGAGACATCCTCATGCCAGCATCCAACACGTATGATGAAATTGCGACAATTAACGACTCGGACTCGGACTGACCAGCCATCATCACCCCAATTGCGACCCCTAGTGGTGATCGTAAGAGCTGTTACTTATAACACCCATGTGGCGCAACGGCAACTTAGTACCATAAATACTTCAGCCTTTGTTCCTCCACTATCTGCGACTGTCTCTGATGATGGGTTCGAGTGGGAATCCGAAACGTCAGGCCGATAAACTTCTTGTTGCGGTGCTCTCATCTTCTCTTCCGAACTCCTTTCTGGGATTCGCCTGTTTGCCTCTATCTGCAAAACGGTATTTTTGGACAATCATTTTAAGGTTCATCAGATGACTGCAAGGCAGGCTTACTTGCCGGGTTTGGCAGATATAAATGGCTTAACAAACTACTCACACCTGACTTAACTTAAGTATAAAAAGTCAAGACAACCGGTTGGGGTCTTATAGCCCGCACTGTCGCAGAGCTGGTTTTGGCAAAACCTTATCATTTCCGCCACAGTTTTAAAAGTAACCGCAGTCATTTATTCTTTCACCACGGAGCATCTTGATAAATCATTTAATCTTTCCAATGTACTTGTCATTTTAACGCCTTCTGTCAGGAGCATCGCCCAAACTGCTTTCCATTACCAAGTTGGTTAATAATGGGGACAGCAGGCCAGCTCCGCATTGTTGATTACTGACTTGATACGGTAGAAGAGCAGTTATTAAATGTTACAGAAATTTTGATTCCGAGGGCATATGTGGGACTAGGCAGCGTCTGCTGTGATAAATTTTTTTCGGTGCTGACATTTTAGAGAGAAGTTTAAACCCCCTTCTATGACAGCAAGTCGCATGATAGGATCCCGAATGGGAAGTTATCGCTTGGCCTGTCTAACGGATTTTCACCGCTAGGAAATGATTGCTCTTGATCGCCTGCGGCCATCATCCTCATTTTAAAGGCTTATTTGACTTTTGATGCGGTTTCTAAGGGTCACGTAGGCGACAAATGGGGCCGAGTACCGAATAAATGAGAAGTCCTTCCGAAGCCGTGGTAAAATTGAACAACTTGAAATGGGACCTACAACGTCTAGTTCAACCTCAACACAACAAGTCAGTGTTTCGGTATTCTGATTTATAGTTGATATCGAAATTGCCTCCCTTGTCTGCAGTCCCTGGAGTCATTTTACAGACAGTAGACGAAATAAAACGTTGTAGTATGTTATTACCGACAAAGACGAGGGAGACTGGAATGGCCATTTCTGGCTTGTTAGCCGTCATCAGCCAGTCATGCCCAACCCCGAAGTGTGCGACACCCGAGGCTCGGCCTCGCGACCTGTTGGTTTAGAAGTCCACGCGTCTAACCACTGGGCCACGAGCCCGTTGCCCTGCCGGTTTCGATCGGGAATATACAATCGTACGGGGTGCTCACCGTTAGAGACGTGGACCTCCAACCAACAGGTCGCGTGTTCGAGCCTCGGGTGTTCCACATTTGGGGGTTGGATGTGACTGGCTGATGACGGCTACTGTAGAAAGTTCTAGAAAGCTAGTCGAAAGACCGCCATTTTGTAGAAAGTTGAAGACGGCGCGCCCCTTGCGATCGCGCCAATTTTTCCCCTATTTATACGACTGGTGCTTAGTCAAAATTTAGCTTTCCATAAAAATTATACACATAATGAATCCATATAAACATGGACTAATGAGAAAAGAGCTGCGGAGAGTTGCAGACTGGGCCATTAGCTGAGCGTTAGACTATAAACTAACACTACAAAGTGTTTCATCAGAAGCTAGGCTAAGTAGAACGTTCTGAAAGAGATGGTACCATCCCTTTTGTCTCTTCAAATTGGAGATTAACGCTTTATGAGCCAGACCCACTTCATCCAGGAGAGTATCCAAACGAATTTCACATTTTCTGTTACGAAAATGACATCAACATTCCGAGCACAGGAATAGAGCTGGTTCTTATAGTTGGAGCAAAGTGCCGACAGACACGTCAGTTGTGTAGGATTGACGGAGTTCTTCTTCGCAGCGTCTCGCCAAATCGGCCCGATGTGGTTATGCATCCCCACTTGAAGTAAGCAAACCCCAGCCACCTGTATTACGGGACCGGTGGAGATGGGGGTCTTTACAAGTGGGACAGGGGAACGCACGAGCGACGAGGTCAAGTAGCTGTATGCGAAGGAAGAGCTATCGGGGATACGTGGTTGTACTTCGAGTGGTTGGGAAATGGTCGCCCTAAAACCTTATCGTAACCTACCCCCTAACTCTTAACACCAACCCATGCCTCTAACTCTAACCATAACCCCAACCCAACCAGTATTGTGTATATCAAATGGGGATAAATAACCCCATCTTATCGCCAAATCTATCAGAATCGAGGTGAAGAACGAGACCGTATGAAATTACACCATTATTCTATCGGCTACAACCCCCACTCCTCCTAATTTTCTAATAAATCACGAGTTTTTAATGAAGTTATCAAGGTTTTCTGTAAACGGGTGGAATTGGTAAAATATCCACTTAGAAACCTTGCAGGTCGATGCACCGATTAAGGAGAACATTGGCCGCAGCAGGATGCCCCCTTTGTGAAATTTAGGAAGTTCGTATATCTCGACAGTTGTGGATTCATCCTGTCTTAAGGGTCTGGCATGAAATTCTGAGATTAATTTCCTTCATGTAGGATGCTGTAGGGTTTTTTTCGACATATGAGTTCTGGGATTTTGTAGGGTCAATATTCAGAGATTCGTATATGAACTCGTCTTTTCACCATCGCATTACGTTCTCTGTGTAATCAGTCTTGTTAGGAATAGTCGTAGCGTTTCCTTTGTCGGCCGGTAGAATGATAGTGTTTGCGATAGCGACGGCAGCTTGCAAGTTTGATGTTTTTTCACAATGGACAGTTAAAAAATGTCGGCCTTTTACAGCTTCCTCAGAATAATAGTAGGAAAATTATAATCATCCACGTCAGAACATCGAACACTATACCGGTCAACTACTGCTGGCCACTATCATTGTCCTACCTGACATTTGGTCGTGTTGCAACAATTCAAATAACGGAGAATCATGCGTATGGACAACGATTCTAGACAATCGGTGTTCCATAAATATAACTGTTTATGGGGATATAAATTATCACTCGGTTAAGAGGATGGAGACTAAACGACACTTGGAGGCTCCAGAAAGGCGACAGATTCATTGATTTCTGTTCTCTTAAAGGTTACTTGTTAGCTCAGTTTCCTGTAGACCTTACGATATTACAAAAGTTTCCATGTCACCATCAACACTATCTAGGCAAAGAGCCAACTTCCCATAATTTTGAATAAAAGGACGCAACAATGCGTCGGTTTCGGGTTTTCAGCGCATTAAGCCAAGCATAAGTTTACTTGCTACAATCTTCGGTTAGAACTCAAGAAGGGCATTTGATGAAAACACATGTATGCGGGATGGTGCGGAGACATATAGAAACCATATGAGAACACATTGGCTGTTACATGTGCTACGTCAGTCTAATAGAGCCGGAGTTGTGGTCTTGTATAGCAAATATTTTGGAGAAACATCATTAACTGATCAATTTAAACTGGAGTAAACTGGAGATGTGTGGTTTGTGGGCTTTTCTTTGGTTATTAGTTCCGCGTCCTCATTCACAATGAGGCTGGCCTCATCAGCGTGCTCAGGGCAGAAACGATCAAGATCCGAGTTCCCTCGTCCACCCAGTTTGTAGCTCAGGAAAACGCGGAGGAAGTATAGTAAGAAGAGTAAAACCTAAAAAGAAGGCAAAGGGTAAAGCCGTCAATTTGCGCAATCAAAAACCAAAAGCCAAAATTGTTGCCCTCGCCGTTAGAAATGGGTTGCGGAAGACACCAGTCTTTGCGAACAGCGTAAAATGGATTTCTATTATGTTCGGACATTTGTTTTTATGAGGCGTTTCAGGAATTGGCGATGAAGACGTCTTAACTGTTATCCGGGTCGAGGCATCTAGTTCATCGGACTTTCTAAACTCTCGATTTCTCGGTGCCTAAGAGAAAACTTCTAATTCGTGGTGGATTTGTGTAGGTTTTCGAGAAAAGTCTTATGAACACACATTTTACACAATTTAATCAGCATTAACATTAAGTAGCACTTATGTTGCTACAGTGCTCTTATTTTTGACATATGCTTAGTAACTCGAGGTGAAAGACTCTAGTGACCAGCTTTGCCTATGATAGTTTCGGATAATTGGAATCAGACATCAAGCCTGGCCATGTAAACACGTAGTGCAAGTCCTGATGGAAAGTCTTGGTACCAGAGTGTTCGAAGCTTTTACCATGTCGTTTTCATTGAAATCTAACTTAAAGAACCGGCTTCCAGTTTTGTAACTTTGGACAGATCATAGCCGCACATGTGAGGGGCTAGGGTTAGGCGTTAGTGTTAGGAGTCTTGGCTAGGAGTTGAGGTAAGGGTAGGGGGACCGGGGTTAGGAGTTAGGGTCAGGGGTTAATGTTAGGGGTTGTGGTTAGGGTAAGGGGTTAGAAATAGGGGTAAAGGATAGGATTAGGAGTTACAGTTAGGGATAAGGGTTGGGATTTAGTGTTAAACCTACTATTACCACTGGTCCCGTATGAGAGGCGGCTGGAAGCTTGTCTACTGCAAGTGCGGCTAGTAAATAGGATCCGAGTGCAACTTTCCTGTTAGGACATTTTGGTCTCTTGGGATATCAAATGGCCCCTATTTTTACAGAAACAAAGGTTACTGTGAAATGTTATAGGCCAAATCTTAAATTTCAAAGTACACCCGCTCGGTTTTTTGGACTGACATGACTTGTTACAGCATAATTAAACTTCTCCGAAGCATATACTCACTGTTTCGTAAGTTGACCGCTTACGCCTTCAGTGTACACCTGTCAATCAGCATTTTCACTGTTGACGTAGAAAACTTACCCTAAGAGAATCAGCTGTCGTGGACTGAGCTGGTTCACAGTTTGGTAAATTCAGACTGTGAGCACCAGCTTAATGACTGTGTGTTTCGTATAGCACATGTTCACGTATTATTCCAATGCGGAAGGACGTGGCAACTTTCAAAAATTCTTGACCCGCTCGCATGGATTTTAAGTACGTGATCTTCCAGATGTGAGTAATGTGTCTGTGATGCTAAATGTGTCTGTGAAGAAATGCAGAGCAAGGTTTTCAAATCAGGTCACGTAGTTCTAAGCAAGGGCACAAGCCCTTCCTCCTCCGAAAGTTTGTTATTCGCTGCCACTAATCAACTATCTTCCAATATTAATCACGCTTCAATAAAAACTTGAAGACTGTAATTGTCGCCAACTGATGTATATACTCCAGAATATTGTTCTCCAAAGTGCATTCTTCCGATTTATAAAATCTACTTTGACTTACAGTTGTCTAAGTACTTATATTCAGCGTTTCGTGATGCTGAAATGACTTTTTTAACTTTGAAGCACCAAGAGAGTGCTGACTTTTAAGATATTTTGTTCAACATTTTAAGCCTGAAGCAGGCTGAACGTTGACTGAATTTGCTAGCTCTCAAAACCTTTTTACGGTCTGAAACAAATTTGTCCTTGGATGATCGTTTATCACCAACTTCCTGTAGCTTAATTTCAAAACGACAGGGTACCGTTAACGTTAGTCTAATATTTTTCCAAATGATCTTCCTTAATTACGACTTTACCCTTGCACCTGGCCTTTACTCTCAACAATGCAATCTGAAGCCCTTTTACTGTCGATATGGCAATTCCTGCCTTCTGTCACCCAGTTTTTGCTCCCCAAGTAATCAGTACTGATGTGTTTCCTTGCTTGCTCGATAGTCGGCCAACTCGCGAACGTTCCTCTGACCATTGGCCAAGCCTTGACTGGTCTGGTAAGTGCTGGGAAATTTCAAGCTCTTTCTATTTAAGATACTAATCCGTTAAAATAATTGTTATCCTCAGCAGAAATGCATATTCTACTTCAAGGTCATTGTCGAATGGAAAAATTATTTTTATTGCGGATCGCAAACAGTTTTCCCATTATTCCTTGTGTACAGTGCGGGACCGATCTCAGGCAATGTTAGCCAAAATTCTGGTATTGGTTCCTGATTAAGAAGGATTCCTTAAGTGGGGTTGTTATACTGATTATCATGCAGCATAACCCTATAACATTTCGAACTTGCCAGGATGTTGGCTTTTAAATGCACGTCTTTTGACCCCCTGCAGAAACCACACCCGGTAAAAAAGTGACTGCTTAAGTAACATGCATTTTTCCAATTGATTTTCGATAGTTTTATAAATTCAAATATATTTTACAGAAAACATGCACAACATATGTTTTCTTTGGTCATTTTGTAGGAAATCACATTGTCTTCATATTTTATACCCGAAGAAAGTGCATATTTAGGTTTTAGAAAAGTTTGTAATTATGAGATTTTTAAGACCGTGCGTTGTCCATGCATGCAAGACCGCACATGTCCGTTTACTAATGCTCCTCCAGAAATGTACAACACAATCCGGATCCATTGCAAAATTTCATGAAATATATGTGGTATCTTCTTAAAGGCATAGAATAATATATGATTTTCCTTAAGCGGAAACATGCACCTTGTAGACTGAAATTGCTAAACGCCGATGCAATGGCAGATCAGGTTGAAACTTATTCGGAATTTGGAAACTTTTTAAAACCTAAATACACACTTTCTTGGGATATAGAATATGAAGACAATGTGATTTCCTACCAAACCCGCAAAAGAAGACATATTTTAGTGCATAGTTTCCATATAATATATTTGAATTTATAAGCCTATTAAAAACCAACAGAAAAAATGCATGCTTCTTAAGTAGTCACTTTTTGCTGAGTGTGCTTCCTGCAGGAGGTCAAGAAGAAGTGCATTGAAAAGCCTCAATCCTGGCGAGTCCGAAATGTTATACGGTTTTGCTGCATCATAATCAGTATAACAACCCCACGTAAGCAATCCTTCCTAATCGAAAAGACATTCCAGAATTTTGACTAACTTTTCATGGGATCGGTCACGCACTGTATATGCCGCATTATCCGCTCTTACGCAACGTTAACAGTACATATGGGATGGTTTTGTCGGCAATGACAAACTGACTAACTGAAAACCCGTTAAAAGAGACAAGGGCACAAGACTTGAATGCTAGTGAAAAACTCCCTCGGCGCACTATCCCCTTACATGCATCCTGTCTGCTAGAGCGAATTAAGTGTCCGTCTCGGCTTTGTCGGCACTTTCGAGCCCACCGAATCACCAGCACTCTGATCACCGTCATCAAAATTAGCGCAGAACTCTCGCCCAACTACTACCGGTGATGCGTTATTCCTCTTTATCTTTCCAACTTGCAAGGACCCGTTCAGGGCGCAAACTAGCCTGGCCTGACATACCCTGACGGTTTCCATCTTTATTCTTGAACCACTGCCGCCAATAGAGCTCATGACAATTTAACATTTAAAGTTACATCACCTCAAACGATATACTTTGACCCAACAACGATTGGATCATACTGACTAGTAGCTTGAATGACTCGTTAGTAGATTATGGTGGATGGAGCGGTTGCTGTGGCTAGTTCAGCATTCGGATCCGTGCAGGCCACCCGTCGTTAACACTTACGTCGCTTAAGCAATGGATACGGCTTTATTTTCGAACCCACTTGCCTGAGGTTCTTAAAGAAACTAACCATCTACGCCGACTCTTTCCTGGCCAATAAAATCAACAACGAATCACTTCAATTTTCCTGACTAGTAATACACTGTATTAAGTGTTAACTCGTTGAACATCAGGAACCACAATGCTACCAACCACAACAGCACTCCAGTAACATATATTTAGTGAGCACACTAATAATGACACATCAGAATGGTATTATCGACAAAGACACGGGAGACTGGAATGGCCATTTCTGGCTTATTAGCCGTCGTCAGCAAATCATACCCAACCCCGAGGTGTGGAACACCCGTGGCCCGAACTCGCGACCTGTTATTGAGAAGTTCACGCCTCTAACCATTGGGCCACGAGCACGTTGCCCTGTCGATTTCGATCGGGAATATACAATCGTAGGGGGCGCTCACCGGTCTTTTTTACGGAACTCACTCGTTCCTTTGTGCCTTTCGGACTCTCTCTCGAGCGGCTGTGCGGCTGCTGGTTGGGTTTGAGAGAGAGAGAGCCCGTAAGGCACAACGGAACGAGTGAGTTCCGTAAGACAGATCGGTGAGCGCCCCCTACCAATGACACATCAACTACCACGACGTAGACGATTACGTACATGGGTGAGATAGATGCGGACTGCAGCCATGCCCTCATCAGCTGGCTTTAAGGAATTACTCGCCGCTAGTATGTGCATCTTAATGGCCTAGCTGGTGAGGTAGCAGGACGTTCCTTACTCCTGCGTAAAGAGATTTCAAGCGAGGGGTCAACCATCACGCCTAAGCCAGTCTTCAGCCATTTTGACCTAGAAATGTCATCCCAACATGACTGGCGTTGGAGAATAAACTACGGGTCGTGCTGCATAAGCCTACATGACTATAATTCAATTTGCCGGCAAGTTACTACTGCGGGTTCCCTGGTGACGTTTTATGATCATTATCTTGTTTACAGGAGCGCCCGGACCTGTGTTCAGCCCTGTCGGTATTTTCCTTACAATGGCCATCAGCTGATGCCAGAATAAACCATTTTTCTAGTGGTGGCCCTTTTCTATCTAGGCGGAAGAACTGTACATAGCACAGGCTCCATCAAATTTCAAAACTGCAACCAGTTGTGAAACTTAACCCGTTCATGAAAAGCGCAGGAAAATAAATTTCCCTGTCCATCACTCGTCAAAAGTAAAAGACAAACATCACTAGATGAAGGTCTAATCCAAATAAAAGTGAGTATTCTAAACTATGATAACAAGTGAACGATTCGGTATGCAACAGATGGGACGCATATCTTTCGTGACTGTGGATGCGGACGAGAGAATCGGGGTTAGAAAATAATCACTGAAATGAACCACCGTGGGTGCTCACAAATGCGGCCTAGCTACTGATGTAACAGCTGACAGACAAACACCTCATCCGGATCTTAGCCCAGTTACAAATAAACAGCGCATCAGGATACCGTCATGCCGAGATTTCATCTCACTAGAAAATGCAAGCAAATTGGTAGCATGCGTATTAATTTAATCAAATGTGAATCTTATAATCACCTGCACCAGGAGACACAAGCAGATTGCCAGTAGACATGCGACGACAGCTAAATGAGGCCGGTTCCAGTTTATTGCAGGGTAGATTATGCCGTTCCCCGTGTAACCTGCATAACTGGCCACCCAGTAGATGTAAGTGAAGAGAGCATAGATGGCTCCCAGGCAAAGTGGATAGATTCCATGCAGGAGACGGACGGGAATATTGTTTAAGCACATGTCCAGTAAAACCAGAAGGGCGGGTACTGTGTGTTTCAACTTTGCAGATAGTCGGTAGAATTCCACTGAGAGAATGGAGTGGAAATAGATATAGGCGAAGGAGACACTTTGCATACTCGCGTAGAAAACGGTCATTTTCGTAATTTATCAGAGCCCAATTAGGTAGACATTATATTCGTTTTATTTCACGCTGTATTGGCGAGCGTATATTTTGTGACAAACGGCACACAGCCACAATTTCAAGACAGAGTAAACTGCAAATTAACGAACACGCTGTGAGATTACCAGGAGCAAATGTACATTCTGTAACATCATGCGTATAGCACATCAAAAGATGTAACTAACGCTCAGGCGACACGATGACGTAGTTTCACATTCCACTCCTGGCATGCGTTTTCGAAGCTGTCTGCCCACCTTGCTAATCTACACGTTGCCTAGTACTTACATGCAGTCACATCAGACCACAATTAAATCTGCAATGTATGTACAGTAGGTGTGGCATGTAGTTAATAATATGAAACAATTCCACTGCTTAATTTCATGAAACGTATATAGTCCCCCTTTATCACCGTAGAGAAATGTATGGTTTTCTGTACGCGAAAAATACATGGCTTGTTGTTTGGAACTCTTTAATATAAGTGTAACGGTAGAGCATGTTTTAAATTATTCGGGAATTGGAAAGGGTTTTGAAAACCGAATTATACCCTACTTCGATAGGAGTGAGAAGTAATTTTCCACCGCATGAGCAGAAGAATGAATATTTTTATGCATGTTTTCTATAAAATATAATTGGACTTTTAGGGGCAACGAAAATCAATGTGAAAAATTCCTTCTACTTAACCGTGCAAACCACGTTTTATGAAACTATGCGGACTCAAGAGACAATCCTGGCGAAATATTAAAACGCTCTTATATATGTACCTCGGTTCACCGAGGCGAAGGGGAGCGGGAAAACCAATCACTGTGAAGAATGGAACGTTCACACAGACGTCAATGGCCAATCAAAGGTCAGCACACGGCAGAAACAGTTACACGAGCAAAATGCTTTGCTCTAGATTAGCCAAAGCCCGAGGGCGTGGAAGGACGGTTGAACGCGTTTTAATAAACTTCAGGAACGAAAAAGTGCCTTTTTGAGGAGCATCTTTCCTTGTTCGGTGGTTCATCTACTGAGATTTGTTTACCGAAAACGGTGGGTGATAACATCAGAAACAGGTAAAACTAAGTAGAAAAAATAGCTGTTAAAGTTATGGACCATCCAGCCAAAGAGACCGGCGGGATCAAAAGTTTCATAGAATAAAACTTACCGTACTCGGGTTCCCAAAATGCTACCCAGTAGGCAATGGATGTGACCAAAGTCGTATTAATGGACATGTTGTAAAAAAACCATAAGACCTTGTTTCCATGAATTCTTTCATCCCTGCCTGAAATTTCGAAAATAATCTTAGTTTGACAAGTATGTTCGGAACACATGTGATGTAATTCATGCGTCGACCAAAATCTTAAGAAATAATGAACGATCTTCAGTTAAAGTAAGACGCAAAATATTACTGAGAATAATATCACATTGATTAGAATGACGAGCCTCTCAAGAAATGCAGAAATGGCATAAACTCAATTTGCTAAAGCCCACGAAACCCGTCCGTACATCAAACACAGCAAACAAAGCAACATAAACACAGCAATTTTTCAGGACCTCTAAGAACTAGGTAATATAGCAGTTAGTCAGCTGTCTGATAGTAAATTCTTTGTCCTAAAACGTCGTTGCCATCATTCAGTCATGTTTCATGTTTTAACATTGCTTGGAATGCGACTGACGAAAAAGAAGAGGCTTTCGCTTGATTTTATGCATAGAGTATTAAGTACAGTTGGCGTACTAAATCATGAAATATTAACCGAAATTCCGAAATATGTTTTCGGTTCGAAAAGATAACTTAAATAGGTTTGTAAAATTAATCATCATGCGGCATAATTCTATAATTCATTTGCCACGGGATGTCGGCTTTTGAACGAACTTCTTTTCGGCCGCATGCAAAAACCACACTTTGCAAAAAATGACTACTCAACGAGAATGAATTTTTCTCATGGATTTTTGGAATCCTTAAAAATTCAATTATATTTCATGGAAAATATGCATAAAGAAATTCAATATTTTGCTCATTTAGTAGAAAATTACGTCTTCTTTCGATTTCGTCTCCAAGAAAATGTATAATTCGGTTTTCAAATGTTTCTAATCATAAGATTTTTTAATACTGTGTAATGCGGTGCTGTATGAACAGACATTTAACGGTCTTGTACAACCTCGGAAATAAATCTTTTTTAAAAACGGAAACGTACCCTTTCTTGTTTTGTACACATTGCTTAAACATAAAATTAAATTTATAAGGACACCGAAAATCAGTAATAGCATTTCATACTGCCTAAGCAGTCTTTTTCGCATAATGTAATTTTTGTAGACGGTCTGAAAATAATCTCTTCCAATAGCCGGTATCCTGATGGGACTGAAATATTATAGGACTATGCTGTGGGATTACTGACATTGCAACCCTACTTAAGTAGCATTTCCGAATGGACAGCATATTTCAGAATTTCCGTAAACACTGTGCGAGGTAGCACATGTGCTGGAAAATTCAGAACAATTAAGTCACTTTGAAATGATCACATAACTTTTTGTTAGAAGGCTTAAGCAGTTGGGCCCTTTACTCTACCTGGGGTTAGCGGGATAGAGAAAGGGTAATTTGTAACTATTTGCTACTGACTAATCAAATCATTGGACTCCAACTGATTTCGAGGTGGAAGCTATTGCTGTCTTCGTCTAGTTTCTATTATTAGTCATGCGTTATGTTAATGATGGTTTTAATTCTCCTAGCTTGCTTTCTGATCAAATTGTCGGTGTCAGAGTTCTGTGAACACGTTTTTAGATATGTTTCCCCTTCCACAAATTTGTTGACAATGGTCTTACATGCTGCAGACTCTCTTCAGTATCCGACCAAAAATTTTGGGCGAATATACGTCCCCCGTGTTTCCAAAATGCATTTTTCTATTTCGATTAAACAGCAACTAGACAAAGGAGGCCGAAGTAAATTAAATTATTAGGATAACTCTCTTAAGTTCGGTGACAGCAAAATGTCCTGCTGAGGAACTTTAAAGTCTCTAAACAAATCTAGTATTACCAAATAAATATTTTGGGGGTTTTTTCGAAAGCACCGATGTATTTCTTATTTGCGTAACTGCTGAAGTTTTAAGGATACTTCAGGCAAATTGTTTAAGTGCTCGACCGGTCTTCTTCTTTTCTCATGCATACACCTTAAATTTGAACGTCTGCCTCCATAATTTAGGCGGTTATATATCGTCTTTGGGAAGCGATACATTCAACTTTAGAAATTAGGGTGTCAAGAAAAGATAGCTAAACCTAACTTTTACTAAAAAAATAAAGCGTTTAACGCCCAAAATTTAATAATTTTTAAATGCATTGTGGGTTCATTTTGAGGGAAGCGAACAATATTACCAAACTTACTTCTATCTAGGGTATAAAAGAGCGCGAACCCAGCAAAACCCACTGCCGTCAGCGTAAAAATAATGAATGACCAGTTTGACGCGAAAGTGAACCAGATAAACGGTCGATCACTCGTCTGATTGTGAATAGTGTAGGGAATTTCGCAGGCCAACCAGGTTACGAGGAGAGTTGCGACGACGAAACGGTAAATGTTATAGACGATGCCGTCCATCCAGCACCACTAAAGTGAAAACAGGAGATATTACTTTATGAGTCATTGGAGGTTTGTGGCACTCCTGGACTCATTCATCAAGCCCCTGCATTCGCAAGTAATTGTGAAAGAGACTGAGAACTGTAAGATCCTGAAGGCTTAGACAAGTTGCAATGGAAATATCATTTATTAGCCAGAATGTGATGAAACATCAAACCACAATCCGGCTAAGTTTGTGCAAACACTAGCTCCACTTAAAGATTCGTGACCAGTTTCAAGGAATGCATAAGTGTTCCAAACAAACTCCTATTCTTAAAAGGATATGACGTTCAGATGCAGACAAAAATTTCCAGTTAAACAGTTGTGATAAGTGTAAGTGCAATTCTTCATAACAAGCTCAGGTGGTGAGGACTTGACTATATTTCTGCTCATAATAGATGCTTAACCTTTCTAGAATTTATAGAAGATGGCAAGGAAAGTTACGACTTATTTGTGTTTTGTCTTGAAAACTATTTTCTACAGAAAATATAAGCCCAGCTTACCTGCGGAAGTGCAAACGTCGCGGGATTTTCATGGTCAAATCCCAAAGCACTAGGTTTAAACTCGCTCCGCAATAATTTCACCAGGGCAGAACGGCAGGACCATCCAGGCTTCTGTCGTCTCCACTCGGACATTACGCAGAATTAAAGTTTATGCGCAAAGTTCTTCCTTTTTGGTTGCAGCTTATGTCCAAGCAGGTCAAAGTCGGCGACAGACCAGTTTCCATTCTCACTGCCTACGGCCGGCGACATCGCCTGTCCGGAGCAGCGCTTTTGGCGGACGACCAATGGAATTGCAGTCCATCGTTATCGTTCTTTTAGCGTTTTCCCAGCAGTCTCGAGATCGCCCGGCAAGGACTGGTTATTGATCTGCCACTGACGACTTTGGAAAAGCAGATAGTTGCTAGTTAACGCTGCCGCACTGATGCTCGGCATATGTTTTTCTGATTACCTCAATACTGGGAATGCGTACTTAAAACCGGTAAGTAAGCACAAGAAAAACTGCTAAGAATTAAGAAACAAAATCATGTGAGCACTACGATTTCACCTTAAAACTGGAGTTCGACCGTCAAAACTCGAAGTTTATGATTCAACCACTAATTTTTATGTAAAATGTGGATTGAAGTTTGTAACATAGAGGAATGCGCGCGAAACAATTAAATTGCCGGAATTAGCATTGGGCAGTGTTTAATGAACTTTTAAATTACGGCGTAGTTTAAACACAAGTTCCAACTAGACATTATTCTGAAGCTATATGAGGTAACTACGGGACACTTAGCTCCCCAGCGTGTTCTGAACGTTCAGAGATATATTTTCCTGAATAGCCTAAGTTTTAAGACAGACAACTCGTTATTTAACCGGACATTATGGAAGAAAATCTAGCCGAAGTCGTTCAAGTTTTTAAGATGTGCCCAACCATGTGTCACAATATGTGTTCTGCGGAGTGTCTGGTTAACTTTTTTTGTCGCTATTCATCCGAAACGAGATGCACAGTGAGCGACCGATCTCATGAAATGTTGACCGAAATTGGGAAATATCTTTCCGTTTAGGAAGAATTACTTAGGTGTCGTTGCAATATTGATTAAAAAGCGGCATGATCCTGTAGTGCTTTAGACTTAACAGAATGTCGGCTTGTGAGTGCATTTCTTTTTGACCTCCTAAATGAACCGTACTTGGTAAGAAATAACTACTTAAGTAGCATGCATTTTTAACATTTACTTGTGATGGTCCTATAAATTTAAATATATTTTATAGGAAACATGCGTACAAATGTCATTTTTTGCTCTTTCGGTAGAGAATCATGTTATCTTAGCATTTTATACTTGAAGAAGGGGTATATTTAAGTTTTGACAAAGTTTTCCGATGCCCAAATAATTTTGAGTCCAATCAACCCTTGCATTAGCTCTTTAGCGATTTCAGGCTACAAGGTCTCTGCTTTCGGCATAGGTAAAATCATGTATTTCTTTATGCCTTCAATAATATATCATGTAGAGTTCACGAAATAGTGCAGTGGATGCGGATCATCTTCTACACTTTATGAGGAACATTGGCAAACGGATATGTACGATGCTTAATGATTGGACATTACGCGGTCTCAAAAAATCGCATAACAAGAAAGGGCTATTTCGCAGTTGGTAGCCAGGAATGGGGAATAGGACGGCGACCTTAACCCTAACCATAACCTTAACCTTAAAAGCTAACCGTTTACCTTAACGGCAACATTAACCCTATCCGAAATCGCAAACGTAACCGTAGCCCTTAGACGTAGCCCGAACCGTAATACTGAAATCTATTCGTACGCGAAAACCTAAGCCTAAAGGCATGACTCTAACCCGAAAATCGGAACCAATTAACCGATAACCTAATCCTAGCCTCAAAGGTAAAACTGAAGCCAAATGGGTCGGATGTGATTATGGAGCTCCACAAAATAGCCCCAGTAAACAAACCCCCCAGCCACCTGTAAAACGGGTTCTGGCTACCAACTGCCATCTAGCCTAAGAAAGTTTTTAAAACCAAAAGACACCCTTTCTTCGACTATAAAATGTAAATATAACGTGATTCTCTACCGAACAAGCAAAAGAAAGCATATTTTTACGCATGTTTCCTATACAATATATCTAAATTCATAAGACCATCGCACATAAGAGTTAAAAATGTATGCTCCTTAAGCAGTTGTTTCTTACCAAATGCGGCTTCTACAGGAGGTCAAAAAGGCGAACATTCAAAGGCCGACATCCTGGCGAGTCCAAAACATTATAGGATTTAGCCGCTTGATAATCAATATTATAACGGTACCTAAGTAATTCTTCCTAATCGGAAAGGAATTTCCGAATTTCGGTCGAAATTTCATGAGATCGGTCACTCACTGTAACATTGTCCGCTCTGCCTGGATCTACTAAGCGTTTCCTAGTCGAACTGTCAACCGGGGTGTATGACACTAAGTTTTCTTCCGTAATCGCCACAATTTGACCCATATCGAAGGCAGCAGGACATGCATTTTAGAGTAAATCCGTTTTTCACGTAAAAGGCTTCAGGAGTTGACTTAGTGCGTGTGAGTAATTTCGCATTCATAATGAAGCACTTTATTTTGTTTGTCTGCTTCGCAGTGCAGTTATTTTGTCTGCAACTGCCTTCACGATAAGACAAACATAATATTTAAATCAAATTTGGATAATATGCCCCAAATTTTGCCAATTAGACAAACTGCTACTTTCGACCTACAAACCGCCTTGCCCATGCTCGCGAATATTCGAGGAAGTCATTTTTTCGACATAATTTAAATGCAAAAAACAACTAAAGTTCGATGAGGTGCCCAAGTATGTTCCATAATATGTCTTCCGCGGAGTGTCTGTTGAACTGTTTTTGAAGTTGTTCACCCGAAACGAGATGTAACAATGTCCGCTCTGCCTGGATCTACGAAATGTTTCCTAGTCAAACTGTTAACCGATATCGTAAAAATGCATAAGTTATTTGCTTATGCAAGGTTGCCCATGAGGCACTCTTCATTTTCAGTTTTGAAGAGTGCTTCTTTAATTCATCGAAATTCTTCAAACAGCAACAATTTTCTGCAGCTAACCGATCCAAAGTTGACATTAACCAATCCATCGAATAAGCCTGTTGTACCTACGTTAGCATAATTTATAGTGATTATTGTGTGTTTAGTTCTTCGTGTGCGCTAAAGCGTATTCGAATGTTTGCATCAAATTTGGAAAGGAATCTGGCAATTCTTGTTTCCTGAAGTTTACTTCAAGTTTATACACTAATTTCTGACGAAATCAGAAAGCTCATTCATTGAAAAATGTAGTACGTTAGTGTTCAAATCCACACAGGGGACGTTGGTGGACTCAATGAGAAGCTAAACATCGCTAACTTTTACCATACAGCCGCTGATATGTCGGGAAGACACGTCTGAACTTTTTTTTGATACCCTGTTGGAACTGCTTTTACATTCCTGAATCTCCTAACTTTTGAAGCCTCCGACTCTTCACATTCTGGCTGCCGTCAGCTTGTTGCAGAATCATAGAAATCGTCCTTATCTGGGTTACTTTATTTCCTTCTGCTAACTTAAATTCTTGTGAAATACTTTCATAAATGGGCCTATCTTCTCTCTGCGCTGCATTCTAACAAACTCAGAATCTGTAGGGCTTGTGTTGGCTAGCATGGGAATGGGTTAGGCGCGAAAATAGGCATGCCGTGCTACATGCAGCCTTGCATTACATTCTAACGGAAGTACCCTTTCCCGCGTCCTGCTTCTAACATTGACCCACCGGAAAGTATTCGGTCGAAATTCTTTCATATGAAGTGTCTGTTCAAACAAACCTATTCCGCATTATTTCTCAATCTCAGACGAAATGGGAAAGGATCATGTGCTAGATGTCAGCAACCCCACGCGGATCGTCGGAAAATACGCAGTGAAAAGTTATCTTCGCGTTTGAGCCAGACGAGAGCCGATAATCAGTAAAATACTTGTCCGGGATTTTAGTCATTACTCTGTTTCACAAACGTACAATGCGTGACCGATCTAATTTAATGTTGGCCAAAATTCTAGAATCCGTTTCCGACCAGGACGGGTTACTTAAGTGGAGTTGTTATACTGAGTTTTATGCAGCATAACCCTATAACAGTTCGGACTCGCCAGAATGTTGGCTTTTGAATGCACTTCTTAATGACCGCCTGCAGCAACCACACTCGATAGTAAATGACTACTAATTTAACATGCATTTTTCCTATTGATTTTCGATGGTCCTAAAAATTGAAATATATTTTACAGAAAACATGCACAAAATATACCTTCGTTTGCTAATTTGTCTTTATATTTTATACCCGAATAAAGAGTATATTTAGGGTTTTAAAAAAGTTTCCCGATTTCCGAATAATTTTCAGCTTGATCTGCCATTTCATCAGCGTTTAGTAATTCCAGTCTACAAAATGCCTATTTTCCGCGTAAGGGAAAGCATGTATTCCTCTATGTCTTTAAGAAGACACCACATAAAGCTTAGGAAACTTTGAAATGGATCCCAACTGTGCAGTACATTTCATGAGGAGCATTAGCAAACAGACATGTGCGGTATTGCATGCATAGACATCGCACCGTCTTAAAAATCTCCGAAAGTACTGCACCGATTGCGCTGAAATTTGCACACAACCCGCCCCGCGCCTAGGGCCGGGATTTTGTCTGTTCAGTTGTGTAATTATGCCGATGGTATGCCTGTGATGGGTAAAAACCGGATTTTTTCCGGCCTAACAACGCCACCTGCTGCGGCCACTTGACCTACATCGCGCGCGGACACATGTGCGCCCAGACTGCGGCCACTTGACCGACATTCGCACAAAAGCACGTGCTCCACCCGACAGCCGCACTCGCCCCACCACCCACCCCTGCAAGCACTTGAGCAGGCCCTCCACCCTCTCTGGGCCGCTGCAATATGGGCCGCCAGAGCAAACCACTCACCCTGCGGCAAAAAACACGCAACACTTGGAAGCCAATTAAAACTGTCCCACAGTCCATACAATAGGGCCGTCACCGCTGCCTCGGAGATTCTCGGGCACGACGACTGGATGCGGTTAACAAAGCTCCCTTCCCCCCCCCCCGCACAAACCCACATAAGGGTACTGTCACCCAGTGTCAGCTCAGT